GGGGGGGGGGGGGGGGGGGGTTGATTAATCAAGGGACTACATTAAAGGATCGAACAAGTTATTAGTGGAGAGGGGAGGACTATTAGGTGTTGATGAGGCCTGGGCAATTAGGGTTTCGGGTGGCACGAACTCTTCAGGCTCCTCCTCCACAGGGGCTGGTTCACCTTGGTCTGCAAGATTAGGGGCGTTCGCACTGGCCGAAGTCGTCTCCTCTGGGACCGGATGGTCTTTGTCAGGGGAGGAGTGCATTTGGGTATCACCTAACGAATGCTCGTCCACAGGGGCCGGATGGCCTTCGGCTGTGGGGCTATCGAAGGGGATGGCCTCAGGGTCGTCCAAAACCTCTTGGTCTGTCGGACCAGCGAAGGGTTCTTCAAGCTCAAGGTCTCTGTCCTCGTGTTCCATCACGGAAGGAGGGAAGATGGTCGGACCAGAGCCTGCACTGGATGCTGCTCCTGCCCATCTCGAGCTATTCGAACCCGCGCCTGCGGCAGCGGCTGGTGGGTCTTGATTGTCGACGAACAAGTTCAAAGCGTCTACGGCTCGTGATCCGAGTTCCGACAAGGACGTCACCTCAACCTCTGCCTCACTCCTGCCAGTTCCCGACAAATCCGCGCTTGGAGCAGCGGCTTGCGTGGCGACTGCTGGCGGGGATCTTGTGCCGGGGTTGGGGCCTACACTTGGTCCTACCGACGAATCCGCGCCAGAGGCTGCGGCTTGCGCAGGCTCAGAGCGTGGAGATCGAGGGGGTGTGACCCTTGGCATTGGATCTAAGGGAGGCGGACTATTAGAGCTCGTAGGTTGGTTAGACCTACGGCTGATAACCAATGAAAGTGACAAGGGTTCAGGGATATCCACAGGGAACAGCCACCACAGTTGCCTAAGGGGCAAATGGGATGAGAGGTAACCTATAGTGCGGAGAACCCTGAGGAAACCAGGTACGCGGCGGCGAGCCCCGGAAGGTCGGGCCCCCGTTGTGTACCAGGTGTGGGGTGTGTACGAAGGAGCACCTACGGCAGCCTAAGAACACACAACACGAATTGCGCGAAAGCGAAATGCACCGGCACGGGCGAGCGAACGCGAGCGACGTGACGGACGCTGAAAACAAGCGGAACGCCCGTTTTCTTGAGCCAAACGCACGGTCGGTGTGAAACGTGTAAAGGTTTCTACCGACCTAGCTAAACATGACTGTTCATACAAAACCGCATGACAAGTTAGGGGTTAATCCTGGTTCTTAAATTTCGACTATTATATAGTGTAGTTATATATATATATATTGGTTACGGATGAGATAGGATTTTACGGACCATGTTTTGGAATACACCAGGACTGCACACATGAGATAGGACTAGGTCGTCATCAAGAATCCTGGGACACATGAGATTGAAAAGGGTGTGTTCACTGACCCCTGCTTTTTCGGCCTATCTCATGTGTCCGCATTGCCAAGAATGCAGTGAACAATTGGGGAAACTAAGCTGGATTAATTTTTCTCACATGGACTCAAACAATGCCAAGTAAGCCTTCCAACTCTCCATATCAAATGTTGCTTGTAAACCAAAACCGCAGTCAATCCTGTTTGAAACTCCAGTGCTTTCAAGCGTTTTGTCAGCTGACTATGCTGCAGGATGTCATGCAACCACCTCATTCAGATCCTGTCTCATGTGGCTAGGCAACCTCCAGCGGGCTTAATGTAAAGATCCCAGTGAACGCTCCAATGTAAACTTGTTTTGGGGCCCACAAGTGGCCCCAGACCACATGAGATAGGAAAGTGTATGGACACTTTTTTGCTATGTTTTGGGCACATGAGATGTGCCAACCTCAACCGGTGCATACGTTTCACTACTCCCATCTCATTAGCATCTAGTATATAATATTTCTACTTTGCTCCAACTTTGGGGGCGAGGTTGGAACTTTCACTTGCAAAATTAAGCTTGTGCAGCCAAGCTGCACCTCGCCAATCCTACAACCTTAGCGGACCGCACAAGCACAGGCATTCCCCGCAGTGAGAACTCAACAAGAAAATACGATGCTACAATTACAAGCATCCAATGCCGCGTGAGCACAAATTGCTGTCGGTCACTTGCAGGGATGTTCCGCGCCGAGACAATTTTGACCTCGAGCAGATATCTCACAAGAGACCTTGGCAAAACCGAAAAGCAAAAGGTCACAGCCAACATTGTGAAATCAGCCACATGAACCTTAAGGCCGCTACTCGTCTTGCACACCATCTCGCACCTGGATTATCCAACTGGTTCGTGGAAGGGCTTAAAAATCTAGCGGTAGTCCGAACATTACATGTGTTGTTGTTTCGATGCTTGACAGCAGGGGTGTTTGTGCCCACATATGCACGTAGGCCAAAGAAAATGGAAGTCGGCCTTCTACCAACAACAAATTGGGGTGGTCACCGTTCACAAGTCGCCCATATGCAATGCAAAGCGTGATCACGCAAGATCCAATTGGCAACTTCAGTTAACCTGTATATATATATACATACAACCGCTATTGTTGGGTTTGGGTTGCTAAGCCTAAGCATTGGCAAGGGCATACTCTTGCTCGGTGACGTAGGAATGCTGAACAGCTGGCATGTTGAGCATATATTGGAATACTATTATCTCCTTCCAAGCGGCCTCGGTCAAAATACTAGTAACCAAGGGTTCTTCTGTAAAGCGCTGCCCACGGAAAACATGCCACGATTCTTTTTGCTCCTTCACGTAGAAACATGTCTATATTTGGATATGGTACCTGCGATGTCTATATAATATATACATATTGTTTCTTGGACGAACCTAATGATTCCGATTCCCATCTGACAACATGTCTTGGACACGTCTACGTCTATATATATATATGCCCATACCCTTCGCGAAAAAGACTGCGTAGTGCGAAGGGTTCTTCAGTGGAAAACGAATTGAATGTATATAACCCAATTATGCCAGCATCGACCCCAAACAGAAGCGACAGTTTCATGTTTTATTTTGCCAATGTGGCTGGCAGTTGCAGCTCCCATCCCGGCCACTTAAACCAGTTAAATGCATAACTGTCAAGCCAGGCCATTCCCAATTCCAAAAATCAAAGATTTGGACAAGAAGGAGACAAAACAAAGTTGCCTGAGCCCAGCATCCATGGGAGGCAATGGGAGGCAAAAGGGTGCAAAAAAAAAGCAAAAAACATGCCCCGGATCGCTTCTATGCAAGAATTGGGGGCCCCCCACCAGCAGCAAGGCAAGCCAATGCACAACTCTATTTCCAGCGGGAAGACTCAGGCGGGCACCAAGTGTCCAAGCAGAAATGCCCAAAACATACACCCAGCATAGGCGCGGCGCATTTCCCCTACCCAAAGCATGCTGCAGGGTGACAAAAGAAACTTAACCGTGGGCCCTGAAGTAAAGCACAGTCCACCTGTGGCAACACCCGAAACCGTCAACCCGTAAGCGCCCCAGTCCCCCTTAAATGGACGCTGCTCCACTGCATGGGCCCCTCACAGCAAAGCTGTTTGGGGAAGAAAGGAAAATAAAGGTGGACAACATGAGACAATGATAGACAATGATAGACTCATAGACAATGCAAAATCATGTCAGCCCAGCAGCCACCAGAGCCATGGGAGACAAAGGGAAAAAAAACAAAATCATCTGAGCCCAGCATCCAGAAATCACCCAGGACCCTTTCTATGCAAGGATTGAGAACCGCTCACGGCAAAGCTGACGGAAAGTCATGTATCACATGTCATATACATTATACGACGTACCTTGTTCAACTCTGTCATATATGATATACATCCCTGCGGGGCTTAACCGGTCCCTCTTTTCTATGAAAAAATGTAAAGAAACACCGCGCACACCATTCATTTTGGAGTTCAGTCTGTTGTCATCTGTTGCTTGAATTATGAAGTGAAAATGCTCGAAACCTGCGTTTTGAGTGCCAAAGCTTTGCGCCACACGACGTTTGTCTTCTGAACATCTTGGCAAACAATGTCTGCCCTGTTCTTTGGAGCAAGTTATATACGTATTTTTGGACGCATCGCCATTGGAATTGACGAGTGCAGTGGAGAGGCAAGGGACTCACTTTCTATCAAGGAGTCTAAATACAACGCATCCACAAGAAAGAAAGGGGCCAAGACTGGGTAGTTCTTTAACAAGAAAAACGACCAGACAAACGAATGAGCAAAACCAACACAAGCGACAAAACCAGGGGGTCATCCTCCGACATTCGACGCAAAACTGCGAAACGTGTGTCGTCAGTCCAACGAACGTTATTGCCCCCCACCCACCCCCAAAAACACCGAAGCCCTTCGATTGAAGCGATAACCGATAATATATATATATATGTAATATTATATAGGTGTGTTTAACAAGTAAAGCTATTAGTGTGGGATCTGACAGCATGCAACGTGTACGGAAAATTCATGGAAAATGGGGGCCGGTTAAGCCCCCGCTAGCATATACATGGGCGCATGTGACGAGGTACGACACGACATGACACGATATGAAAAAAACATGTCAAATGAATGACAAAACAACATGTGACACGACGCTCATCCACGATGGCATGATATGACACGAGCATGTCTAGGTGCGGTATGAGCCCCCCGGGCGAGTAAAATATGACATGATGTGATATGATCTGATATGACTGCGACATGTCAGGATTCGCTTTCAGCATGACATCGTCACTCTCTAAGGTGGCGGTGGTGGGCAGAGAAAGCTGACAAAGCATAACCCTTCGCAAACATCGCGCCGCCCGGAAGGGCAAACATGAACCGCGCGCAAAAATTTGTGGAGATTCTTGCGCGTGGGATGCACTGGGCGCGCGAAGGCTGGTCGCCTAAGGCGACTTCGCCTGTCAAACGTGCAACAGCATGGCCCTGCGCTCATGAAAGTTGGGACCACGAAACCAAAACCCTTTGCATGATGCGCGAACATGTGTTTCTTCCTGAATTCTGTGGAGCCGTGGGATGGTCTTCCGTCAGCTCGATCTTTTCTTACGGCTTGAGCTCCATTTCTACTCTACCACCTATAAAGTGAGATCACATCGTACAAGCATCCTGTACCTTACTTTGATATGAACTGTTGGGCATGCCAAGACACACTGGAAAAATATGACGTCGTATCAAGTGGTAGGACATCAAGCTTGTCGCGAACATGCCCGAAAAACATTCTAGGCCACTTGGCACAAGAAAGACCAGGTATGTTATCAGCATACGGTTTGACATAGATTGAAATGACCTCCGTGAAATTCATGGGATTCTACCACAAGCCTGGCGATAGAATGTACATGGTGTGCAGTGACGCGGCCTCATTTGATGTACAAATATATGGATGACACATCAGCACTCCTTCACTACAGCCCGAGCCGTGCCAAGTGGCTTGCATGCCTCCGCTGACCCACGTGTAAAGCAAAGTCTTGTTTGGCATCAAAAGATGTAGCCGGAAGCCAAAGCTACACGTGCATACCGCTGAAATTCACTGAGCCCGGGCCCTCTGCGAGGTGGCTTCCCACGTGTAAAGCACTTAGCTCTGCTTGGCCCCTTCCATGCGTTCGTCACTGGGCTCAGGGGTAAAGCATGTGTCAGGTAGGAGAAGAGTGCCGTCCGCCAAGCATTTACAGCTGATCCCCTGTTTTTTCCGTTCTGATCAGCAGTTGTGGCTCCTCGGCATCACCAACAATGTGGGGCCACCACCTTGCACCACACCTGTATGAAACTATAACGGCTTCCATCCACAAGGTCGCACCCTTTTCGTGATTTAGAACTTACTGGGCACCCCTCCGGGATCAGTTTCTCCATGGGCCCACGTTGGGATTGAAATGTAGCACATACCACCACCAGTCTCTGAGGCGTCCGATCTTTGCAGGTAAATCACAAGCGTCAGCGGAAGAGGACTCGTGAACCATGTCATCTCCTGGGCCAACTTGAGACCCTTCAACAAAACCGTAAAGCACTTTCTCGAAGTTGCTAAGTTATGTGTGCTGCCTTGCTGGCGCCACCCTGGAAAGGCTTCGCTGGGCACTTGTTCAAAGCCGCAAACAAACATTCCATGGCCCACCAAATCCTGCATACCTCCAAGTAGATGCCCGCAACCTCCAAGTGTCGCGCCGTCAGGATAGAGAAAATGGAATCTGCGAACTTGTTCCGTCAGACAGGTGCGAGGCCTACGACGGACGGCGCCTATCAACACACTGCCCGAAAGTGCTCAAAACACCGACTGGCGCAGCGCAAAGCGATCACTTCTCGAAAGGCCTGCTTGGCGCTCAGCCCCTCCTGTCTTGTCAACTCAGACTTTTCCCGCGCCAATGCTGCTGAACCCAGTCTTGCACACTACCGTCAGCAAAAGCAACCATGGTTCACAGCAGCGGCTAGAAGTGCTGCAGAAGAAGATCAATGCATTAAAATAAACGTCCTCTGTGCAAACGGCGAGCAAGCATATTGTATATATATACATATTTATCTATATAGCATAGAATCCCTCTTCTGTCGATTCCCTCCAGTAGTCCAGTAGCATGGAATCATCCTGCGCGATGGTTCCATGAAATCGGAATCCTGAAAGTCCCCAAACCACCCACGATGCACGAATGGTGACCAGTCCAGCAGCACAGTTACTCGATTGAATGAAACGCACACTGACCCTCAGTTGAAGCCCAAAACTTGAGGGACACATGTAAGTGAACCGTGCGCACGCCTGAGCACACTCATGTTTTTGTGGGTACAATCTTATGCGTCTCATCTTCCTTGCTTACAAGTTCTTCGTTCTGTCCTTTGCGGCCTGATCGATCTCCCTGCGCACAGCATCAGCATCTGCGCTCTAGCGGTGCAAGCTAAGATTCCATGCATGCGAAACAAATGCAAGACTGACAGCAACACTGCATGTTTCAATCAACTTTTGCAAATGACTGGGACAATACTTCTACGCGTGGTAAGATTAACATGGAGCCTGAAAATGGACCTTGGGAAGACTAGTTCCCTCCACAAACCAGTGGTTTTCAAGTTCCTTTGTTTGTTCCCCGGCGTGTGTGTATATAGTACACATGTCACATATCTATATACACATATGGATTTCGACTTTCCACTTTCAGGAAAAAGGGCACATGTTCGCTCTGAATGATAAAAATAAGCGAACGTTCAGCAAATGCTACATGCAAAGAGTCTGGAAGGAAGTTAAGTTGAAAAAAAGGTAAGGGCGTCTTTGGTAATATGTTTTCGGGGGCCCTTGGTAAAGTGTTTGCCTTGATTGTTCTCTTTTTTCACACAACAGCAAACAAAACCTGGTCAAAGCAGTATCACATATGAGGCGGGAGCATGGGGAGAATATGCATATGCAAGCCAAAGAACCAGCTGCGGCAAGAAATCAAGCCAAAAGGGACGCATCGGGAAGAAGATGCCCAAAAAGTTTGCTCAAAAAGCTAAGCCAAGTTCGATTCACCGCTGCACTTAAGGCCCCAACGCCTTCGTTGGAGGCAGGGGTGCTCATTCACGGTATCCGCAAATCTCGCCCGCCCCCCCAAATGAAGAGGTCGGACAGTCTGTGGCCCCCGGCCCTCCTCCAGATTGACAATCAATTGAGCAAGGTAGAGTTTGTAGGGCTTAAGAGCCGAGAAGGCAAGAAACACAAGGAGAATCAAGGCCGAAGCAAAGCCCAGACAGATGCCAGCCAGAAGCCAAGCAAGGACAAAGGAGCTGCAAAAAAAGGACAAGAGAGTCCCAAGGTAAGGTCAATAAGGACATGAAAAACCCTGCAATCTTGATGAGCCGTTCTATCATGCCTTGACCACGAAAAGGAAAGCCAGGTTTTATGTTTAGACTGGAT